TTTTTTTTTTTTGTGTGTTTTTTTTTTTTTTTTTTTTTTTTTTTTTTTTTTTTTTTTTTTAGACAATAATTGATATTTTTAGTGGCATGTTGTCAGGATTTCTTTACCGTTTCTCCTTTTTCTGTACGAAAACCCAGCTGAATGCATGCATTCCTGAAAATGAGCAAAGGTGCAGAGAGACCCCGGGGGGGACAAAATTGATACACAACTCACCCCAAGGCCAAGCACACTGAAGACTCCCACATGGTTTAGCAACATGACACATACTGGATGAAATAAAGATGAGGAAAAAAATGCCCACCGGTTCATTAAAAATATTGCAGCTGTGATACCAAAGTCCTTTTATTTCCTATTTCCCCCCCCCAGAAACTTATCCAGTTTCTCTCTGTTGAGTAATTCTTCTTTTGTTGTTGCTCTGCTCTCTAAGCTACACCCAAATCATCAGCAAGGACTGACATGCATGACTTCTATGTTCCTGTATCATTACATTCCCGTAACAAAATTGTCAACAATGACACTCCATCATGTAAACAAGCAAAAAAAAAAAAAAATCCTGCCTGTTTTCACTTCAGATTATTTATTTGTTTATTTAATGAGGGTTTTTTTTTTGTTGTCTCTTTGAGTCTTGGTTCTTGTACTTCAAAAACTGAGAGAGGCAATGTCTTTTCCCACGATTCGTGCCGCCGTGCATTCTTGCACAACATTGCGCGGTGAAATTTACTTGGCTTTTGGTGTTACAAGTGATGGTTGTGACTTTTCATGCTGTTACACGCCAAACTGATTGCTAATGACCAAGAAAGTTAGAGCTTTTTTTTTTTTTTAAGTAAAGAAGAAAAAAAAAACTACGTGCATTGCTTTGTAGGCTAATGCTACATATGAGCTGGCCTCTGTTGCTGCTTAACATTTGCGTTGTTCTGCCTAACAGGGAGGGTTTATTTCTTTCTTGCTCTTGTTTCGGTAACTTCCTCCGCTCATGTTCGGTGTCAGTTTGGACCGACACGCCTGCTGCTCTGTGCAGCGCTATTCGATTGTATTTTTTTGTTGTTTTTGTTCGTGCTGGGGATAGTAAGAAATTATCTACTCTGGATCACTCGCACCTGGCTTGTGATGCTAATCTTCCTGCCCTCATCTTATATTTTCACATCTCTGATTCGTGTCGCTGTGCCCTCAGAAGCCATAATCAGCTCTTTTTCTTCTTCGCTTTCCTCCAAATCTCTCCATGCTTTACTCAAAGGGCTGCCTCCTCATCCTTCTCCTCCTCCTCTTCGCCTCTCTGCTCGCTGTCCCCCATTAGTTCTTCCGGCAGCAGAACACCTGGTCCGATCCCGACCCAATCAGCACGCCTGCACTTTGTCTTTCAAGCCATGTGCCCTTCGTCTCCCCTCCATTTTTTGGAGGCTATTTAAGCTAGCCTCCATCTTTTGTGTCGTACTTGTAGAGCTTTTAAGTTTGGGTTGCAGAAATGTACGTCTGTGTAAAGACTGTTTGTGTATTTGCACTGTTAAACCAAGACTCCTCTTTTTTTTCTTTTTTCTTTTTTTTGGATCATCACTTACTCCCTGTGCGTTTTTAATCCACCAGATGTGTTCTTGGTTTTGCACGTAAAGGCCTCTCTTTTATTAATATCATTTCCTCCCTCTTAACACGCCACCCGACCCAATATCTTTTTTGGGAATAATGAAAGAGGAAGAATCCTGACACACTCCTGCACACACCCTCTCTTGGTCACCTGAGGGTTGTGACCCCGCGTGTCGACATTTACTGTATCTGCAAGGGCCTGCCTGTCTTAAAGTCTGTTTAAGGATGTTTTTAAATGGCTATTATTAAGTCTTATTGGTGGAATGCTTTTTTTTTTTTTCTTCATAAAAGGGAGTTCAGATTTTTTGTGTGTGTTTTCTCTTATGGCTATTATTAATATTACTATAACTAGGAGTGTTTTCAGTCTTTCTGAAGCGTATACTTTTTGTCTTTTAATTTCTCCAACCAGATTGTAAAAGGATTTATTTTGTTTTACAGAGATTGCCGAGGATATGAGTTATTGAGAGTTACAGTCTGTATTCTGTGGTATTATTAATTGATTAACAAAAACAGAATTATATAAATGGAATTAAATAAAATTTCAACATGCTGTTAACCCTGTTTTGTGACCCTTTTTTCCCCCCTTGTTTTGTCTTTTCAATACTCCTGGAGGTTGTTGTTCAGCAAAGGAACCAGGAGGGGGCAGTAAACATACAGAACGTAAAGTTTGCATCCTCTCCCTGTTGATCCTTTAGGGTGGATTAATAAATTTGTTGTTGGATAAAAAATTTTCCCCACATGCTTCAAATACAAGACCATGACAAAGTATTTGCTCTTTAACAGATTTATTCTGATTTAGCTTTTCAGTCGCACTCAAAACAGAGTTTATAATTAGACAAGGATGAGCTATCTGTGCCAAATGCACAATTTAAATCAACTATAATTAATCATATCTTTTAAAGGTGTGACATGTTTTCTAGGCACAGTACAATCGAATTACTATGTTGCCTTCAGTTATAAAAATGCTGCATTCATTAAACATATCTTAAAAGAAATTTGACTTCGTAATTGGACAACAACCGTTCTTAAGAGTGTTGGGCTGAGAAACATAGTCATATGATCAAATAACCTGATATAAACATCCCCTTTTTCAAAATTTCTATTTCAGCAGCCTCACCCAGAATTACTGTCAGATGCGTGAATCAAAGCTCACTTAAATGGAGCCTGTCTGACAACCTGAAGTAGGATAAAAGGCCTTAAAACGCAGCACATCATGGTCCAATCAACGGGGCATGGTGTAGTGTCCTGGGTCACAAAAGTGTTGCGCTCGTCTTCCTTACTGCACAACCCCAGGATCTTTTATTCCAGAGGATATGTCAGAGTACATTCGTTCACCCACCTTTAAGGAATAATGAGATTATTAGCTTTATAAAAGAAGATTTAATGCCACATAATGGAAAATACAACCATAAATTGGAACAGAAATACAGAGTAGCTGTCCAGCACTGGGGCATCAGTCAGCATATCTCAGTGTTGACACAGAGAGATACAGCTCTGGATTTATCTACTTCATAAACTACACTCGCTGTAAGGGCCCTTATCCTTGTATAAACTTATTTGTGTTGCCTAACCGGTTACAGATATGCAAGCGGTGGGAGTGTGCCTGCATGCAAGTGAGATAAAATGACTCAAAAAGGGATGAAAAGGATTTCAGATGAAGTTGTATCCAGATAGTTTCAGCTGAGAGTACAAACAGTTTCACCTCACAAGGAGATAATGAACCGTACGCTCCAAGTTACTGAATATTTAATCCGTGTACACTGTTACGAAAATAACATGTTCACTTTCTCTTTGTTCTGTGTGGTCTGTGTACTGAGTTATTGTGCAGGAGCCAAATCTCTCCAAGCTGAAAATTAAAAGAAATACCTCAAGAGCTACAGAGCTTACCAAATGTGTCCAAGTCTTCTTTTTGTAGTTTTTCTGACCGAATGGCTTTCTTTGCCCATCTAGATTGTGGTAAAGCACATCCTAAATTATTATTAAATGTTTTAAATATATATTTAGACACGCCCGAACATATCGGATCCGTCTCAGGTTTCTCCGTAAATCCTCCCTCGGTGGTGAACTCTGAGTCGTGAGAATGCTCATTTTCCCTGGAACTTACCTTACCTGCTTTTCTGATTATTTTGCGGCATGTCTCAGCAAGACTGCTCCCACTCAGACATTCCTCAAGTGCAAAAGCTACAGCCTGTGCTCGCCTTAAAATCTTAAAATAAAAACAAGAGTTAAAAAAATTAACAACCAAATGTCAAAAGCATGACTCTGCGAATGCAAGACAATGCGGGATATTCAGGTCGTCCTGCTGTGAATGACTTCATCCTGTTCTGGCTGCAGCTTCTCGCAGCACTCTGTAGCTGTTGCACCTCTGCATTGTTTGTTGCATTGAAGCCGAACAATATGCCGCATCCTGCTGACTCTGTAGTTGACATAGAGAGAGTTTTCAGCGATGCCAACATGCACATTTTGGAGCTCGCACCTCCTCCTGCCGCCTGCCCTGTAGACGAATGCAAGTCCTGCTCTCACGGAGAGGAATGTTACTAAATTTATGAGATCCTACAGTGAATATTCCAAGCAGCAATGCGGGATGAGGTCATTTTGAGGTAGATTTGATAGGGTTACAGCTGCAGTGTGAAGCAGAACAAAAGAAAACCTGCAAAGGTGCTTGAAAATGTGCCTCAGAAAGGTATGACACACGACGCCCTTCCCTCCCCAACTGAACAGAGCAACTTGACAGAGGGACAAGTGCAGCCACTGTCAAGAGGAGACGCCAGTGGATTACGAGCTGGTGCTTTATTAACTCACGCTTACAGCTCTGGTTCAAGCAGTCTTTATCAGAAATCAGGGCACACTTTGACCTTGGAGTGAAGGTGGAGCACATTTTTTTCTGGCTCATCAGTCCAGTTTTTTACTCCCATTTCTCCTGAAGCAGCTGCAAAATAGCAGGTAGTCTGATGATGGTGTAATTGTCAGTCGGTACAAAAGAAAGACCCTTTCTAGACGTTGTAGGAGGAAACGTGAGTGAGAACTTTCGGAGACTCACTGGATCTGCGTGAGGGAAAAGGATGAGCGTGTTTCTGTGCTCCGTCCTCCCTCTGTTGGGACTATACACGCTGATCTCACGGTATCTGCTGAAGAACCCACACCACCTCCACCGGAAGAAGAAAACGGCTTTCTACTGCACTCAAATTTCACACCGAGGAGGTAAGAGGGGTGTGGGGGGCTGCCGGAGGGAGGGATCTGTGATCCACACTTGTGCGATGAGGAGCTTTCCTGAAGACATATCTGAGTGGGATCAAGAAAATAAATGGTTAAAATCCTGAAATGTTTGCTGCTGGAGTATTTTAAAGTCTGTTTCAAAAAGGCTGATGGGTAAGTTTGTTTTGCTTTTTTTTTGTCAACTGTGCTGCTGCTCAGATTTGGTTTTGACTGTTTTCAGGATCGGGAGAGAAGATAGAAAATACGATGGAGGCGTTCACAAAGTGAGTACTACCTCAAACTTTAAGAGAAAAAAATTAGCTCTGCTAAAAAACTGAGGCTCAAACATATGCACACGCCCCCACTAGTATTAGGTTAAATATCTTGTAGTATATTGTATTGACCTTTTGTAAGCATCAGAAAGCTCCTGGCATAATTTACTTACATCACACCTCCAGGCAGAGCCGCTAGAGTTGAATTAGTCAACTTTCTGTCATGGATGAAGCTTTTAAACATAGTCCAGCTGTTTACAACTGCTGAAAGCTAGGTGATTAATTTTGTGTCTGTTTTGGTGTCATTGCTGTCTGCACACAGAGTGCATCACATTTATCATTTTGAAAATCAGCTATTCCTTTGCTGTGTACAGTAAGAGATTCGGGACGAAAAACAAATGACAGGATGACAAAAGTGTGCAACAAACCTCCCAAAAGAATGTATGAGGAAGAAAAACAAAACAGAAATGTAGATCATCAGGTCGAGGCTGCATGTTTTGCATCAAAAATCACCTCAGGTGTTTCACTGCAGCTAAAACTGCTATAGGCTACATCTCTGTCAGTCTTTCTGCTGTGATAATTTTACAGTCAACATCCAAAGTACGGGACGTGTGTCCCTGCAGGTTATTGTAACGTTCAACCTGGAATTAGTGGTGTTGGTCGGTTATCTATCGGTTATTGAGTGATTGGTTTCGTATCTGCAGTTTCTCATCTCTTTTCTGTGGATAGATTGAATTTGCCTATAGATGTATCTTGAAGGAACATTTGTTGTGAATTAAAAATAAGCTGATTTGACTTAGATTTTTTTAACTCTTATTTTTGAGCTTTTTTGTTGTTGTTTTTGCAAATGTAGAGGCTTTTAAACAGCATCTGATGCTCAGAGCAATGGATTTGGTGCTTTACTGTTTCAGCAAAACAGGAACGGTCCATAATTTTGCTTTTGAGTAAAACTTATTAGTAAATCAATTTTAGAAATTGATTTGCTGACATAAAAAAAAAAATCAAAATGGCATAAAGTGTATAAAAGCTACGTCCACAGTATCCTGATGTTGTGCTAATTGTACTTTGAGTTTTTAAAGTGTGATGTCAGATTTTAAAAAAATTACATAAATGAAAGCTTTAATATGATATTCATACTGATTATGAGTGGATGTAAGGTCATGAGAATGGCCGGTGTTAATCTCTGGGTCAGTCCTTTCAGCGTGGATTAATGCTTCACCCCAAACATCAGACATGAGCCTCCTTACAGGAGCTTCTCTCTCTGTTGTCAGTGCGATAGAAAACGGCTCACAGATGCTGGAGATGGACTGCCACCTGACAAAGGATGGACACGTGGTGGTTTCTCACGACGAGAACCTGAAGAGGCAGACCGGCGTGGACAAAGACATCTCCTCGCTCAATCTGGAGGTAAGACACGCCACCACTTGTCTTCATTGACAGCTTAAACTAAAGAAGCGGTTTGCGTTTATTTAAAACAGTATATTCAAAGAATTTTAATTTCACGGTTAATTTTCTTTTTTCAGGCTTTATGAAGGGCTTTTCAGCATTGTTCTCTGGATTTTGACTCCTGCTTCAACTGATTTCATGTCTTATTGCTGTACCAGCTGACGACTGCATGTTTGCAATGACCGTAAAAAGGATGTTTGGATGTAAATCTACCAGTGCATACAGTCAGAGCCTTATAAAAACAAACATAAGGCCCAGATGTGGGGAAAAAATTATTTAAATAACAAAAGTAGCAACTATAAATTTTTGGAAACTGAAACATTTATTGTTATTATCCAACGAATTCTTAAGACCTAACAATTGCTTATGATCGTAATAAACAATGTGGCATTTGCCCATTATCTCCATGCTTAATGCTACTTGTAGCAAAAACACATCTTGATGCTGCCTCTGTCCTGCTTACCAGCTTTTGAAGTGGTATTAGGTTTGAAAGTGTCGCTTTAAAAAAGCAGGAAACCAGACTGCTGAGAGTCAAAAGTCTAAAAAAGAATATATCTGCAGCAGACAAATATCATCTAAAACTTCTTACACCTGAGCGGATGCTATCATGAAGCTGATAATCAGACATTTCTTTGGTTCTTGGTTAGTTGCTCTTTGTGATTCACCTCATTAGTACTAAGTGCTGTTCTATGTGGGAAGCTAAGCTAAGTTATCCGAGTTATCGATATAAACAGCACGGTAATAAAACAACAATCCTTTGAGAAGTGTCAGGACTGAAAATCAGTAAAAACAATTGCCCAAAATCCAAGAAAAAAAAATTAAACAACTTTCAAAAAGCCTTGGAAAAGTACAAACCCAAAGCACATAAAATATGGCATGAAAATCTGTCTGTTGGCAACAAAATATAAAGAAATAAGGAATTATTTGAGAGTGAAATAAGAAAGAGGCCATCAGATTTTATTTCAGGTTCGTTGATTGGTGGGTTTTATAAACAACACGTCTCTGAGATGAAGAGTCTTTGGTGGACTGATGTTTATATTCAGTCTTTTATTTATCTTGAGAAATTAATCTGTTTGCTTAAATGCTGGTAACTCTTTCAGGGAAATGTTTACATCCAGGTAAGTTGTAGGCACTAACAGATCTAGAAGGTGGCTTATATAACCAATAATATCTGTAAATAAATGCATATATTTTAGCTTAATTATCATTCAGATGACTGTTTTCAGAACTAAGGTTGTTGTTTTTTTTTTATCATTCTTTCAGGATTTGCCTCCGTATAAGGAAAGGCTGGAGGTGACATTCAATGCAGGCCAGTTCCTTCTCTCTTCTTTAGATTATTAATCATTAATGAAAATGTGTTTAGTGAAGGTATTGGTCAGAGGACTGTGTGTTTGTTTAATTCCCACTAACTTTTCACATCGTACTACCCTTCAGGCCACGAGAACAAAAGTGGTACAGACAGGAAGATTGCTCTACTAGAAGACGTGTTCAGGAAGTTCCCAAAGATCCCTGTCAGCATCGAGATCAAGGAGGACAACCCACAGCTGATGCGAGAGGTGCAGAACACCCCATATGATGCAGATTAAAAAAAATAAAAAATACAAGCATATCTTACCCAAATTACCCCCCAAAATTAACGACAAGCTGCAGCAATGTTGATAGTCATATTTTGATTCGAGATTTATTTATTCAGGAAACTGTCCCCCCAAAATATTCATATCCCTTGAACTTTTTCCTCACTACCTCATATTTTAAACACTTAAGTCTGAAAAGTGTGCCATGTCTTTGTATTCAGCCACACCCTATCTGAGTCATTATACTTGCATGCAGAAAGAGGTTAAGCTGATTACCTGAGGTTTTATTTAGGACTATCCAAGTAAAAGGGTGAGGGGCTTTAAACAGATATTTACTTTAAAAAAAATTAATAATATGAATAATTTTCCCTGTGCATCACAATTTTTCCACTTTTTATTTACCTCTAACAGTTTATTTTCAAAGTATTTAGCTCCACTCATCCTCCCGTTATTTCTGACCTGCCTCTGTGACTCTTTAAGAATAATATTCCCACAGTATGATGATGCCACCACCGTCGCATAAAAATGTGTGGTTGTAGCAGTTTAAATGTAGAAAAAGTTCAAGGATTACCCAAATGTACATTTAGAGAGAGATTGGTTGGATTTTTGGCTCCTATGCTGATGTTTGTGGTGGTAATTAGCTTGTTTTTTTGTGTGTGTTTTTTTTTTTTTTTGGTCGAAAATACAGTTTGGAAGAGGACTGTACTGTATGGAAGTGGTTTTAATCACGATCATGTCTGTCTGCAGGTGTCAACCCTGGCTAGACGCTACGACAGGGAGGACATCACTTTGTGGGCTTCCGAGGATGCCGAAATCCTGAACAAGTGTCGCAGTATCGTAAGTTGACCAGCAGGGGGAGATAGAGTGCCAAACAAAAACCCTTTACCGCACGTTCGCCCGCTGAAACGCAGATTCGCTTCTGTGTTCGGTGGAAATGTACCACGTTAAATGCCTTTACAAGTTTTTAGCATGTGTTTTTCTTTCCTCCGTTGTCTCTCCTTCTCCGTGTTTCAAAAATCTCTGTCTGTGTTTCTTTGCAGAACGGCGCTATGCCCTACAGTTTCTCCAAAAAACGCGGCATCCTGCTTCTTCTTCTCTATTACACGGGCCTGCTGCCCTTTGTACCTGTGGGAGAGAGCATACTGCAGTTCTACCTGCCACGCATCATTAACAGGTCTGTTTGCAGACCCTGTTTACCCTATAAGAGATCTAGTCCTGGTTAAAAAGACCAAGCTCTGTGCAGAAGGTCCTTACATGTGATTATGATCTCAGCACAATTCCTCTTTTCATATGAAAAAAAATAAATAAATAAATTACAAATAATAACCGTAATCTATTTGTTTATTTCAGTCATTCATTTTAAACTGCAAATGAGTGAAACAAACAAATTAATTAATATTTCAGAGGGGTCTTAAATGTCTTTCTTGTGCACTGATAGGACCTACAAACCCGAAAACACCAAAGTCCTGAAGAAAAGCTGGGTTGTTTCTTTAATAGATAAGTAAGTCCGACTTTTGACTATCTGTGTTATTTGCCAGGTAGACACTCTTCGAGGCCCGACTGGAAACGTGGGATCATATTTCTTGTTTTTATTCCGTTTAATCCTTTCCTCCTTCTAATGTTTTCAGAACAACAATGAGAAAAAACCTTTTCAAGCACCTTGCAGACCGTGGGATACAGGTACCACATTAAGGTTTATTCTAGTACCTTTGGCTTAGTATTGACAAGTTTTACATGACAAAACATTAACCGCTGTGATGTGGCTCGGCGCTTCCTGGGAGATTACTCTCTGTTTGCGCTTGCCCAACTATTTATAGACCAGAGGCAGGAGCCTGCTTCCTCCATGTCTCCTTCATTGGACCAATAATGATCAAAACTGAATTGAAATGTATTAAGACACTTTCACAGTTTCCGCTGTATGAAAACACGCTTGACTGAGTGGATAATAATGGTTTCCATGTTTGCAACTGTAGGTGCATTTATTTGTTTGCAATAAAAATGAGGACATCAAGGCGGCGTTTGACCTGGGAGCCACAGGAGTCATGACTGATTATCCTACTCTGCTCTCTACCTACGTCAGAACACACGAGAGTGGACGACCCCAACAGCAGCAGCACTCAATAAGAAGTGCTCTTAGGACCGCAGAAACAGAAAGACTAGAGCAGACATTGCAAGACCAAGGGGCGAATCCACGCGTGCAAACTGAACAAGATTAGTTTGCTGCCAAACACTGAGCTGACAGGACAAGGGTTTAATTCACGTAGAACGACCAATCACTGCCGACGGTGTGATCATGTCTGCTGTGTGCATACAGTCGGGTCGGTATGTAAAGAAACATTTGATGAGCTTTGTCAGCAGTGAATGTTTAACTAGCCACAGCCCGTCACCTGACAACCCATGATAAGAGACTAAACAAATATGACTTTGTTTTGACTGGCTACTTTCTGACATTATTGATTGGTTTAGGTGAAAAAAAAAAAGGGGGGGGGGGGGCAAAGAAATTGTGCTTTAGACTGCCTCATAAAAGTGTTCATACTCCAGGAACCACAATGTGTTTGGGGGGGATTTTATTTGGTCACAGGTTCTCAACTGGATTTAAGTCTCGACTTTGACCATTCTTGAATGAAAAGAAGTCATCTGGAAAAGTATTTGTACAAAACCTACTCAAGTACCGAGTAGCTGCTCATGAGATCTGATTTTATTTGTACAAAATGATTCAATCAGAGAGATGATTGCCTAACCCTGGTCTGAGCGTCTGCACAGCTTTCTTCCTGACCTGCCAGCTGTGCTGCTTGGTTTTCATCAGGATATTTGCTCACTAATGTTCTCTAGCAAACCTCTGATGCTGCCACAGGGTTTATACTGAATTTGAGTTACACACAGGTGAACTATATTCACTAATTACATATCGGGTTAAAGAGAGATAAATAATGCACATCACACTTTTCAGACTATTGTTTACCAGAAATGATGAGGACAGTATATTTGTTTCCTTTAACTTCACAAATGTGAAACTGTTCAAGAGGGTTGAATACTTTTTAAGGAACCGGACACGTGCAGGCACACACACTCAAGGTGCTCTTATCATGAGGCTAAACATCTGTGTTTTGTCAATTTATGTTACCTAATGCTTACCATGTGCAATGGATCTCACTCACGCCTCTGTTTTCCTAGGCAGCTGTGACCAAAGTCCGGCCACACTGCAACAATGACAATCAATCAGTCTGTTGATGAAACCAAGGTTGGACTTTTCTGAACCAGTTCCATGTGCTGATTAGTGTGACATTAGTTAAAAAAGATATGAAGCTATAAATCTAGCTTTTTGTCGCACTGATTCAAATGGGAGCAAGTTTGAACCAGAGAATATGTCTATGAAATTATGTCATTTGTAAAATCTTTTGGAATCAAGTGTTGTGGTAAATGCTATTCTAAATAATTTGTTTGTCATGTCACGTGTCCAGCCCTTTAATTGGAGGTCAGCTGATCAACAGAAACTGTATGAAGTGCCAAAACCTGGTTGTAGAAATGTTTGACTCAATAAGGAGTTCATCAGTGAAATATAATCATTTGTTTGAGAGAATAAAGCAATGAATATGCTTGTAAAGCAAGCATATTGTAACAGATTGTCTATAAAAAGTAAACTCCTTGGTAGATTTTGGGAAGGGCTTTTCAAATGGGTCTGAAAGAGGTCACGTAAATAAAATAAATTAAAATTAAAACAATCTGATTTCCTGACTCTTGACATTTTTAAAATTCTTTTTAGTCAATTGTGCATGTTGTTTTTAAATGATGAAAAGTGACAAACAGTGGAAGACAGATAACTATGTTCTGTTTATGCCCGATCTGGCCTGATATGCCAGACTATTTAAAATGGATATTGAGATCTAGCTTCAATCCTAGAGCAGCCTTTTGCTTTTTTCTTTGTTCTGTTTAATTCAGAGTCAATTTAGAAAAATCACAGAAAGAATAAAATTCCCTGGACAACCAAAATCTAAAATGACTACTATTGTTTCCAGATAGCTCCAACAAGTCACTGTTTTATGTCTACCTCTGGCTTAATGTCAAAAATGCTCATAAATAGTTTATTCCTCCACCTTTCACTATGTTTTGTATGTGTGGCTACCATATTGGATACTGAACTCAGGGCTGAACTCAGGGCTGTTTGGTGAACTCTGACCTTTTTTGTCAGGTATCTGACTTCAGGGAACATTCTTTCCAACGGGTAACTTGAAAAGTTTGTCTTTCAAGCACAAAGAAATTGGAGCTTATAAAGCAGCTACCAGGTATTGTATTCAACATAGCAGTCAATCATATTGACTGCTAGGTAATGTTGCCATTAAAAAAACAACCTAACATTGTGATGGTTGATATAATGTCAACCTGGTAGCACACACATTACTCTGCATCCTATATTTATGGACATGATTTTTAATGTTAGAACTCATCTAATTAATAGAAATATGATTCTATATTTTTACGTTGTTTTATTATCTTTTGAGAGGTCATTAAAATTTCCTATTCAATCCAAACCTCTTGGTTGATTGAAAAATAATTTTACATCATTTAAATATTTTTTTTATCTTAAAAGTATTAAACATGAAATACAATAGTAAAAGATATATAAAGATAAACATGATTACTTTGAGCTATATTGGTACATAAAAACCTGCCTTCCTTATAAAAGTTAAGAAAGTAAGTGAAGAACTGTTGAGGAGTGGAAAGATCGGACTCTTTACTATCAATAGAGCCACAACATCTGAATCCTGGAAAAAAAGTCGGACTTCCCAACTTGGACACACCACTAAAACCAACCCAACATTTATGAAACTGGATCAAAAAGCAAGCCTATTGATAGCCATAAAAGGCTCCCGTGAAGCCGAAGCTGATTGGTTGACCCACATTCTAAACGTCATCTGGGAGCTGTGATTGGTTGACGGAGGTTTGTTTTGCACCCTTCACCCTTCCTCCATCTGCGTGCTTTCATAAACAAACTGCATTTTTGTTCCGCTGGGGAACGCATTGCCCTCTGGTTTGTCAGCCTGCCAGTATTGTCAAATCTCCGGCTCCTGTTTTTGAAAAGGCCGTGGAAGAACTTTGTTGTTGAGTCAGAACAGAAACGCGGGCTCTGCTACAACAAAAACAATCTGAGCTGGGTTTTTTCCCCCCAACCGTCAGCGCGTGGAGGACTATTGCACCGAGGCGAGCTAAAGGCTGGACTTCACAGTCTTAACATTTGCTCTTTCCTTCAACTATTAAACTCACAGTCACTACAGACCGCTGTGTATACTTTGAACAGCTTCAGTTTTAGCAGGTGAGTGGAAACAGAAGAAAACATTTCGTCCATCTTCGCTGCAGTGCCGACTTTGCGCAGCTAGCATGCTAGTGCTGTCCTTTGTAACAGAGTCATGTTTTTTTGGCCCGTTTAGCAGCTCGTGTAGACAGACGATTATCAATTTGGGGAAAGCTCTGTACATTGAAATGCGGCTTAACTGGTGGCCTAATTGAGCCAAAGCTTGATTGTGCAAATTGTTTTGAAACAGGAAGTAGTCGGGCTGAGCTGTGTCTTCGCCTACTTTGTCTTTGTGATATAAGATCATGCAACTCACTGCTAATTGTGTGCAAATGTTGTTGATCGCTTATTTTTTTCGGTAAAAACAAATAAACTTCCCTTTTGTAAGAAAACGAGACTAAGAACATGTTAAAATTGAAAAACCGCCTGCAATATCTCCTTAAGTTGAAATTATCAGGGAGCTTGGATATCTAAATTTAGCGCTATTTAGATGAACTGATCGGACTTAACCACTGATCAAAATCGGCAGAGAAAACTGAAAATGAATGTAGGCCAAGAATAGCTTGGTCGATGCATTTGTAGCTCAGATAATAACCAAGTATTCACCGATCAGGCTTTCCTAAGGGCTGTACCGATAAAGGTTTTCCTTTGATCTGAGGTGCAGACTCTGATTAGGACTACAACACATCGGACTAGAACTGCACTGCTGGTTTTGTAAAAAGGAAAAAATATATATTAAATTTTGAGTGTAGCAGAAAATGAAGGAATTGGAATATTATTATTGAACCAAAGATCCTTCACATTCATCAGATATTTTTTTCAAAAAGTGCATTAAAGTACATATTGTCATTGGGTGATGTGTTCACAGTCTGAAAATGGAATTGGAATCCTAAGTTTCTGTTCTGCTGATCAAATCACAGGGAAATTCTGATATCCAGACGATGCACTAACTAATCTCCTAGTCTTTTACTTCTCGGTTCTAAATGATGACAAACTAGTCAAATAATGAAAAATCTGGGGTGGGGAGGTTTGTTTTGTTTTTGTTGCTCTTTAGTAAATGCAACAAAGTGAAGAACTCCATCCATTATTGATCTCTAAATGACACTTGTATGTAAAAACCTAATCGGTGAATCTCTTAGGTCAGACGTCTTCTGCAGGTCCCGAACTTTGAACCAAACATAACTTTAATGAGCTGCATGCAGTAGCGACCAAATCTGTTTGTGTTTAAAATGTGACTCTCCTTAGTGATCTGACCTGAATTCTGTTCAACCAAGTGAAATCCAAAGCAGTTTTTCCTGGATTAACTTGTACAGTAATGCAACATGTGCTCTCTGTCTTTTTCGTGTACAGACATGGTGAAGCTGACAAAAGCCAAGACCTTCCAGGCCTACCTGGACTCTTGCCACCGCCGTTACAGCTGTGTGCACTGCCGCGCCCATCTGGCAAACCATGACGATCTTATCTCAAAGGTAAACATGCTGCCAGGCCTCTGTCGTAATGCTTATTTTGAGTGCTTTACTTTATATGCGGCCTGGTTTTCCTCTTATGTATTAAAAATAGAAAAATGAAACTGATATTCTTTTTGTTCTTGATTTCATGTGGGTATTTTTTTTTCTCCATTACTTTCAGTCATTTCAAGGCAGCCAAGGCCGAGCGTACCTCTTTAACTCAGTGTGAGTATTTTGAATGCGACCACAAGTTTCATAAGAGATTTGTTTATTTAATCATGAGTTTCTTTTCTTTCTTTTTTTTTTTAAATCACTTCCTCAAATGTCTCCTTTGAAACACTTGGCAGTCTCTGACCTTTTTTCCAAAGCATGCAGTTTCTGAAATGTTCTTTTTCCATCTGAACACACTGCTGAGAGCAAATGTGCTTACACTAACCACGCTGTCGACGGATAACTAGGTTGGTTTTTATTCCTCCTGATTGGAGCTCAAAGTTGGGCCAATTCACTTTGGTCATGCTTGAATTTTTTTTAGGTTAGTGGGTCAGCAATAAACAGAAACAGAAGCAAGTCCATTAAACACATTTAAACCTTAGATATTAAAAAAAATTATAATAATTAGTGTCCTTATATGTACTTTATTTTCATGTTCTGTAAACGTTTCCTATGAAAAGACATAGCTGTAGCTGGGGGAGGAAGCTGACTGTGCTGTTGAGGAAAGAAGTGTGATTATAGTAAAAACATCTGATCTGGGACATCGCTGTTGATTTCAGGGTTAATGTTGGCTGCGGTCCCGCTGAGGAGAGGCTGCTGCTTACAGGACTCCACGCAGTGGCCGACATTTACTGTGAAAACTGTCACACCACTCTGGGCTGGAAATATGTAAGTAACTCTTACAGTACATCAAGTAGTTCTCCACAAAGACGCTTCTCACTGTTTTTCCAGGCTTGTGCAGAAAACCATCTGACTGAAAAGAAATGACAATTTAGATAAATGGCCATACTCCTTGCACATTCTCTCACCTTACAAACACAAATTTATGTGTGATAATTTGATTTTATGTGATCAACACAAGGATGCATGATTTTAAATGTTATTTACATATAAAAGTTAGAAAAAAATGTGGCATGGAGACGGCAGTCATTTTTAATTGAGAGCACCTGTAAACTCCAATTTCAAGTCTTCCAATGGTTTCTCCCATGTATTTATGTCTGGACTTTTACTAGGCCATTCTATCTGGGCCTGTATGACATTGGAGTCTTTCCACCTGTAATGTTGACTTCCTCCGGTCACCAGCAGACAAGCTGTTGCTTTCACAAATAAAAAGCCTGCTAGACTAGTTTGTTCCAAGCATGCGGTTTCCCATAATGCTGCACGTTGTTAGACTTTTTATCCCCTCCTTTTTCTCACCCGCCTCTTCTAAGACTCATCAGCTCTGCCTGGTCAGTTCATAATTACTCTGAGGCTTGTTCACTAATTTCTTCCCATGTGTTATGCAATGGTAACGCTGTTCAGTAGAAGTGGAAACTGGGAGAGCTGGTATTCGTTTCCTGTGACAGAGTTCCTCTGTTTGCTGTAAACTTTGGGACTTTAAAACGCTACTATCATTTCAGACACGATAAAATCCTGGACGACACAAACAGGTTTTTCTGTTTTTGGAAATATGCAACGTAGGAAAAAGTTTCATGAAACAACAACATTTATGAAGATCTCTTGTTGCAGAAAACATTTTAAAAAGAAATCAAAAGTTTTTACAAACATTTTAGTTTGTAAAAATTTTCTGTCATGTTTTTTTTGAGGAATTCTTGAAACTCCCGTGGCAACAGTTTGACAAAACACTTTCTCTCACAAAGCTCTGCCCTTTTACCCAAAGCTCCTCCTGAGACCTGCAGTATGCAGCCGAGTGTCCGCCTCACAGAGCACCCGTCCCCATGCAGCCCCACCAGACTAGCGGCAGCAGCAGTTAGCAAACACCCGGTGGAATATGTGTTGCTTTTTGAGGCCTTTTGCTTGGTTTTTGTAATTAGGCAGGTTTTGTTTAACTCTTTCAACACTAGCTGAAAAAGAGTTTTAACAGATTTAAACCAACCAGACCTTGGTTGGTTTAAAAACAAAAACAACAACAACAAAAAAGTGAAGATGTTCTCTTTATTAAAACTTTCTCTTTCCTCTCCAGGAGCAAGCCTTCGAACTCAGCCAGAAGTACAAGGAGGGGAAGTACATCATAGAGCTATCCCATATGATAAAGGACAACGGCTGGGATTGAAATGGAAAAACCGCCATGCTTCTTCATGACTTTTTAAAAAGGAAAAAAAAAAAAAAGTTGCATCCCCTCGACGTGAAAGGGTTCAAGTGTATCGTCCTCATCTCGCCTTCGAGTCACTGCTGTGCCACACTTTTACTTCGTGCAGCTTTTGCTAAGAATAGCATGTGATGCCTTATCTTCGTCTACTCTTCGTGGTTTTTTCCCCCCCCCACATCACCAACACATTTAACTGAGATCGTCATCACGATTGATTGGTTATTCTGGGACTGAATAAGTGTTTGGCTTCTGCGTGTGGAGAGAGAGTGGGTGATTTGGTTACATGGGGAAACTGGGTGTGTGATGGGTTTTAAAGCCTTTTAATGCAAGAAAGATCAAAACGTTTACAGTGATCACTAAGCCGTGTCGCTGTGAAACCGCAAGGCCAATCAAAGCTAAAGAGCTCGACCATTGATAATTGGATTTTTATTTTTATTTTTCTTCTATTGAGCTAAAGATGCAGGTTTTGATGCAATGTTTGTTTCAATGGTAGAGCTTCTTTGAGTTAAATATACAAGGAGGATATGGGAATACATAGAGCAGCAGGCGAGCTCTTTGTTTTTGTTTTCTTCTTTTTTTTATTATTATTAATTTGTATTTTTTAATTATTTTAGAGTCAGTATGGCAATCGGGATATTGAGTTAGTTATAAGGCCAACAGAAATCTTCTGCAAGAATTCTTCAATCTGTAGTGAGTCTTCTGTCCACAGGTGTAACTTTATGGATGTGCGTATCTGTTTGCAGTGAGGCATCTTGAGCTGGATGGTGTTGTGAAGCATTAGTCTGGAACTGATTTCTTCTTCTAAATTTCTTTTCACTGCACACTTGGGATAGCTTTACTTCCACTCAATGCTAATGAGACCTATATCCTTTATACGTTTTGCGCATTGCCTAACACTGAGCAGTTCCTATCGACACATTAGCTTCACTGCGTTAATGCAAATTGTGGTTAGGATAGATGTAGCATATTTATGGTGATTTTTTTTTTTAAAGTGTCTGCTTTCATTAAAGTGGTTTTTATTTTAACCTGGTCTTTCATTAAAATACAGATTGGCTGTACATTTTGGGATTGAGTCGTCTTTTGTTGATGCAAATAAATTTCATATAACTTCTGGTTACACTTCTTTATGTAGTTTAATATTTAATACTCTGTCAATTACTGAGACAGTGTCTCTTCATGTCCTGAAAATAACTTGGCACTTAATTTTTTTTTTTTTTTGTGGACATGATTTAAATATATGCTGTTAATATTAATTGTACATGCATATTTTCATACTTGACTGATAAAATGCACAGCACTTTGCTAAAGAATTCATGAACATTTAAACATTGTGATACATTACAACCACAAACATGGATGTGTTTTATGTGGCGAACTAGGACAAAGTTATCCAAAACTGAAGTGTAAGGGTGGGAAAAGTGGGTTGTTGCAGCTGTAATGTGGCAAAATACAGAAAAATTCCAGGGGTTTAAATACTTTCGAAAGGTACTGTATGTACTAATGGGCTGAAAGGAGCAGGCTGAGCCAGCAGCTTCTTTCTGCTGCGCCTCTGCCTCACACACATGCTCCTGAACAGCTTGTAGCATTTCAGCTGCTTGCTTTGAGCTGCGGCTCAGTTTGACTGATTAGAGCCTCACTATCAATTTAGCAGGACAGTCTTGAACCCTGTTGACCGTTTTTGTAGGTCTGCTGGGATATTGGCTTATATTTAAAAGTATAACTTAATAACCAATGGGGTTAGCCACATAAATTTGCTGCAGAAAAAGATGATTAATATCAGTCGACATCAATATTTGTGTGTATGAAGGGGTTTGTTTACCTTTGCACACTGAGAAGTACTTGGCTACAATGTAAGCCAGATGTTTGTGTAAGATATATATGCTGAACTCAAAATGAAAGTGAAAATATCAGGGAGATGCAGGCTGTCAGACGTGTTAAAACCACACTTAGTTTCTAAAGCAGGGGTGTGTAAAGGACGATTAAAGGTCCGTTTGTGGAGCGGTTCTGTGCTGCCACAGACTGCAGTTCAAGAATAGTACAAATTTGCCCTGCTGGTAAATTAGAGAAGTAAATACACAAAATGAATGTTTTCTAAAAGATGTGATATCTTTTAGACTAAAAAAAGGTGACTAAAATTCAATATTTACTACAAAATATTTAATTTTGTATCAGTAAAAAGAAATTGAATTTATTTGGCCCTCAAGTCCTTAAGAATTGATTTTTTTTGGCTCATGTGTCAAAGTTTTTGAACACCACTGTCCTAGAAATAGGATAAGGTCTGTCATGACATAATATATTAATTACTTTTATGGCAATGCTTTTTAAAAAATCAGTCTGGTTTATAAAAAGGTAATTTCTGATTTAAAAAAAATATATATATTTTTTTTAGATTTTAAACCGTGGCTGTAGTCCCTGCGGCTGTCCAGAAGATGGCGATGTTCGTCTCAGCCGCCGTGTAGACCATAGCCCCTGTTAGATGAGAAGGAAGTAAATATTGGCACAATTTTAAACAGAACATGCTTTAAAAACGTTAAATGCTTAAATACCCGGATATTCAGTCATTCAGCTTTATTTTGATGATTGGTTATTTGATGCGCAAGTATGTCATCTATTTTTTTTTCCCCAAGTATTAAATTGGAAAATTATTTAATAACTTATCTTTAAAGCTAATACATAATAAAAGAATGGTTTTCCTTCATTCTTGTTAAACATTTTACTTTAGAATATCAAAAAGCAAAGTTTGCAAATGGCAAATACCACATTCTCGTGCTTTGAACAGGAACTGGTCACATGAAAGAGCTCTGAAACTGATTGCACATTTCTTTCCCATGTGATAAAGGGGCTACTGACTGTCATGTGTGTGCATTGTATTGTCTGCAGCCCCTCTTTCACTTTTCATTTTTAAAAACTGTTGTGAAAGTACAACCACATGATAGCTTGAGGAATTTCAAAATAGTACAAAAATCTATTAGACATTTTCTTTTTAATCTTAAAGGTCTGGTAATTTATCATGAAGAAACAAAGGCCTCAATTCTGTTAACAGGTTCTACAGAATTATTCAGAAAATAAAATAAGACATTATATCCAGTCTACACTTAGAGTAGAAGGAAAAAAGTCTTACAAAAGTATTCTTGTAGCACAAATTACTTGTAATTTGTGCTACAAAGTACTTACAAGTAAGTAATTTGTAATTACAAGTAATTTGTAACAAATTACTTGATTACTGATTGAGTGCAGAATCACTCATTCAGTAATCAAAGCCTTTAAAATGAGATAATGAGATAAATGCCTGAAGCTGTTGTTTTTAGGATCAAAGGCGAAGCTAAACTTGTGACCAAGAACGAAAAAAATGTCTGCATTTAACATTTGGTGTTCTTCTGTGGAAAAGTATTCCTGCTGGTATGACTTTTAATATGTTTTTAACTTTATTTATTTTCGTATTACTTTGTTCACCATCTCAGGATCTAATGCAAATTTCACAAAACAATGTAAATTAAACCTGCTAACTTTAAGACATGACCTTACTCGAAGAAAGACATCTTTGAAAGAAACATGAAAAGACACAATACTGTAAAAAAAAAAAAAAAAAAATTCAAAGTTTTGTCAAATGAGAGCATTAAATGACGAAGTGATACACCCGCTGACATCAGAAATACTCATCTTCATTGGAGTGTCACCTTGACGCAAACACCTTAGGGCTCTGTTTCTAGTCCCTGAGACTGAGAAAACCACTTATTATAAGATCCGGTAGTTGGTTTTCCACGTTAAATTATAGAGAGCGCTGCCGTTTGTTGTTGGTTTTTAGTGAACATTTGGTACTAATAATTAATACGCCAGCCTGTAGTGACGACTGGTTTCAGCTGCAGTCAGTGCACTTGCAGCAGAACATACCACTAAACAAAAATGACACACATTAATTCATTTAATAACATCAACAACAGTGGTTATATGAGATTTACTTCAAAAATAATTCAAAATTACAATATTCCACATACGTTTGACCGTTAAATATAAATCAACGAGTGAGTATTTCACATTTGTTAGTCGGACACACCCGCCTCGCCTCACTTGGATCCCTCCGCCATGGCTGGTCATGTGACTTTTTCCGTTTCGCCATTTTCCTCTTCTCCACTGGAGCCATCGCTGGTTGTCCTCGCTGTTTCGCGGTGTTTTAAGCTGCCCAGAGGTGACGGTGGGACAGGGGAACCCCCCGCCAAAGAAAGAGAGGATATTGTGCCGTCTAGCTTTGTCGTCCGAAGGGAAGAGTGACAATGTCTTCTGAGGAGAGCCCCGAGTACTCACCTTTCTTCGCCGTGATGGGAGCCTCTGCGGCCATGGTCTTCAGCGGTAACTAAACCAGCTTCTTCTTCTCCTCCTCCTCAAATTGACACCCTTTTGTTTCATGCTAGCTTAGCCAGGTGTCGAAGGCTGAAATTAGAAACGACCGCTGCCTTCACACAAACAGCGTTGCTGGTTTTTGGTGGCGGTCGTGGCTCGCACACCTGTCGGGGATGATGCGAGGTAGAGGCGGGGTAAGTTTTCTGCTGCTGTTGCAGCGGACAGTGGGAACAAGCTGCCTGCCTCTGCTCTGGTGGAGCCACTGACATTAAATTCAGGCTGTTATCGTGTCTGCTGCTGACTGGTGACGCACACAGTCAGTGAGGTGGCAGCTTCTCTTTCTCAGCACATGACATGTAACGAACCATGATTGAATGGATTAAAACAAAAACGGATGTCAAGTTAATGGTTACTCTTGTCGATCCTTTTTTTTTGGGTTTGTTGTTGAAGGCGAGTCAGGAAAGGAACATGGAGGCCTAAACATCACAGCGACAATTTAAAGGGATGATTCATTCATTCATCTTGCACAGCCTTCTGTGCATGCGCAGTGAACTACTTCCACTTGAACACGAAGCTGGTTGTGTTGAGAAAATGTGAAGAAATATAATGTAACTTTTGATTCAAGCTAATGTAAAACACTTATTTCTTTCATCAATAATTAATGAAGACGTGAGGGATAAACGGTTACATTTAATACAAGTCTATGAACACACGATAGAGTTTCAGCTAGGTATAAATCTCTTTAATGTACCAACAGTAGACATTGGGAATCATTTAAAATATAAAACTTGGTACTAATCCAAAGATCATTATCAGGTCCCATGAGTTCATTTTACACACAAAGAAGGATGTTGCCTGATATTATCTTTTCTTTTTTTAAACTAATACTGCAGCCAAAAAAAATTAGATTTTTTTTTTTACTTTCCTAAATCTTGTTCTCAACACATAAACTTCAATAAACGTCCTGCACATTTGAGCCCAGCTGCAATTGACTGAATTACACTATTTCTTTTACCCATCAGGCTGGTTCGTGAGCAGAAAGGATACCGTTTTAATGAGCTTTATGCTGTTTGAACTTCAGAGCGCTTCCTGCCTGCATGATGTTGTTCTTGGAAAGGTTTTTCAGTATCGACGCTACAGAGGAACAAACCATCAAGTTATTGTGTTGGCACACACTCGATTACAGCGCTGGCAGTCTAAACCGGTTGGTTTCCTCATCAAACCGACAAAGCGGATCACGGAGAACGCAAACGTTCGTTAAATGTTTACCTGCTCACCCGTCAGGCAGCTGGAGGGAGACGGTGTAGTTTTTCTCTGCACCAGTGAGGACAAAACGTCTTCAAAAAGCCTTTCTTGTGCATTTGTAAATTTCAAAACACAGCTACATTCAACCCTTGGTGCTCTTTGTTGGTTTAAATAGACCTGCCTTTTATGTGTGAGACAATGCTTTTGGAGCAGGATAAAAAAAAACAAACACTACAATTGTGGAGGAAGGGAAAACTTTGAGTGTTCATGAAAATGTGTTTTTCTCAAGTTGCAATAAGACACATTTCAGTGGGATACATCCAAAATCCTCCATTTGAGCTTTAATGATTAGCTAAAGCTTCAAAAACTTGCAGTCAAATGACCAGATCAGGGAGATTTACTGAATATTTATTCTATTTGGATGTGACTCTGACATTTAAATGAGGAATTGTGTTGTTTACATGTCGAATCAGTTCTGCTTCTTTTTCTTTTGGTATTTATGTGGCTTAAAACATTATCTAACAGACTAATTGGTTTGTTTAAAAGATTGTCTCATCTTCAAGCAAATCAAACTCAGTGTTGCTAAACCAAAAACATTAACTGTTGATTATGTTGCCAATGAATGAGATGGATCACCAACCGTGTAATAGATTTTTTTTTTTTACTTATTTGGAAATGCTTGAGAGTTAAACCCAAACTAGCAGCTGAAGCTGCTTTTGAAGGGACGACACAGCCGGTGTGGTTCACCCTTTACATGACTGATACCCCCAACAGGAAAACATCTATTGTCATGTATGCAGGCTAAAGTCCTCCTGCTTTGAGTGTTAAATAACTTATTAAACTATGTTAAATACAATTTACGTGTTTGGGAAATAAACCTGTCTATGATTCTTCTTATTATAAATATAATATTCTGCTCCAAATTTGTCCAAATGCCAAAACGAGCAGCAGCACGGCTTTTATTCAACCTTTATTGTGTTGCTGCCAGATTTGTGACATGTGGATTATAAACCTGACGACCTCTAAAGCATTGTCACAATAAGGTCCTTAGAAAGTTATAAAAACTGTCATCCTACAGTTTTAGTATGAACACAGCCTAAAGGGTTGGACCGGTTAGCATCATCATTTCTGAGATGACTGAAGTCCAACCTAAAGTTTTCACATGATCAGTTTGTAGATGCATCACCTTCATAATCTCTTTTTATTTATTTATTTTTTTTTCCTGCACTTACAATACATTAATAAGATGCATCCCTCGTAGGGGCTGTGCTAAGTTTTTTTTTGTGTGTGCGTTTTTTTTGTTATTGTTTTCATCAGTGAGAACCAGCTGGATTTATTTTTCTATAAATCAAAATAAACCCAGGTGCCAGAAAGTGCGGTGAATAGTGTGCGTCACTTCACAAGTGAAGTTTGTTTGCTGGCTGAAACTAAATGTTAAAAATTCCAGATGTTGACACTCATCCTGCTTTTATTTAAAAAAAAAAAATGTTTTGGTTCACTTTGTAAGAACCCTTCAGCCAAATGCAGTTCCATTTGAGATCCAAACTTTTCTTGAATATTTATTTGGTTTGCAAACTGACCTTTCTGAATTATTCTGTAATAACCAAGTTGCATGCAGTGATGAGTAGTTTTCTTGACCTGATCTCTGCTCCGCAGCCCCGAGCGGCGGGATTAGATGAATCTGTGATGCGAGCGGCACAGCGACAGATGTGCAGATGTGAGGAGCAGCGCTTTGATCTGCGATGCTTCATGACTGAAAATACATGTTTCTGGTCTGACTTAAAGGGCCAGGCCTCAGAGGACGCTCACCTTGTGCGGATAAATCGTTTTTTTAACTTTCATGTGTACTCCGTTAAACGTCAGCACATTGGAGCAGCGTGCTGAGACTTTATTAAAACACGGAGTGACAGTGGCTAAGAGGAAAACTGCTGGAAGAGCTCACATGCATGACATCAGTTTAAGCTTAGAGAGGATCTCTTTAAATATTTAATAATTCCTTGGAGAATTGACATTTAACCGGCTTGCATCGCTGCACTGTGGGATTTAGCCGCAACCGTTGACTGAAGTTTACCCAGGTCGCTTTTTGAAAATGAAGCGGTGTCTCATCTGCGTGAAGGGAGTTTGTAGTCAAAAGGTGAGTTAATGGGTGTCTTGTGTGTCTTGTTTCAGCGTTAGGAGCAGCATATGGGACCGCGAAGAGCGGCACGGGCATCGCCGCCATGTCTGTGATGCGGCCAGAGCTCATCATGAAGTCCATCATCCCCGTCGTCATGGCGGGTATCATCGCCATCTACGGGCTGGTGGTCGCCGTGCTGATAGCCAACAACATCTCGGAGAGAGTCAGTCTCTACAAGTAAGGAAAACATCTGCTGTGCTCACGGTTCTGGCTTATAAATGATCAGCTCGTTTACCAGTGCTAATGCCTTCCTGCTTTCGGGATTGTAGCAAACGTAGTCCCCAGATAATCAGCCATCTATCCAGATTCTGCTAACAACGTTAGCACCTTATCTCCTCTTTGCTCTCTGAAGCTTCTGGGACAGATTGTCCTTCTCTATGTTCTGTCCTTCCATGTCTGTTCTTTCTTTTGGCTTTTCTTCTATATCTCCTTGTCCTACCTCCATTGCTGTCCTTCTTTTCTGTCTCCTGCCTTTTTCCATCCTCCTGTTGTTCTTCTTTCTTCTCCTCCATTGTTTCCCTCATATCTTCAGTCCTTTCTTCTTTTCCTCCACTTCCATGTGTCCTTCTATCCATTCACCCTTCTTTTCTCCCTTCCCTCTGTGTTTTTCTCCTCCTGTCTTCCCTAACCCCATCCCATCCTTCCCCTCCTGTCTTCTTTTCCATTCCTTGTGTCCTGCTGTCTCCCCTTAGACCTGTCTAAGGGTTTAATTATTCCAGATTGAATAATTAAAGCTGGGAAAGGACGCTGTTCATACGTCTTTCATCAGTTAATGTCGTGTCAAATGAACGTGAAGAGCTGAACCCAAACAAATTGAGTCTGGAAAAGCACAGATTGAAAAAGAGGATGTTTAAAATTATTTTTGTGTAAGTTGCCAGAAGGTATGGCTCTGTAGGAAAAGAAAGATCTCCATCTCTCATCACCAGAATGGCTGAAACGGCACAGATTCAACGTGTTAGAGAGGCTGTTAGGAATAATCAGTCCTGCTGGGAGTTGTGGGATTGGTGTGTTCTCAGCTTGGAGAGCTGAGAACTGGTGAATGTAATAGAATAAAATAGACTAGGCATTTTGTTTCCCAAATAGACTGTATTCTTTATCAGAACCTAATATTAATTTACATCCATTTAGATGAAAAATCAAACCTACACATTCCTTCTAAACTAGGTAGAGAAAAAAAAACGACACCCAAGCAAGGAGTGATTCACTTGAGTCATACTACACTGAAATATGCAAAGATTATCTGATTTAATGATGGTAGTCTAATACATACAAAATCAATTAAAACCTCTTCTTACCAGAGAAACATTATTTTTCTGTTCAGACCTGTCTAAGGGTTTAACAAGGCTGCTCAAACTAAGCGCAAAATAAACTTAAATCTGCAAGAGTGTCTGTTTTGGAGGAGTGGTGTTGGTAAAAATATTTGTTGGGATTTGTTGCTGATGTACAACCTGTAGTTTTTCTAAAACTTGGACCTGCTAGTTTTAGAAACTCTAAATACCGTTACTAACAGCATACAAAGTATTTCTTTCTGGCCTTGCTGTGAGAGCAGTCGATATAAAACAGAGTTTTCTAAATGTTTATGGAGTTGACTGTTTTAAACTCATCAGCATCTTATGCAAGTGTTTATCTTGGTTGACAGGTGTGAAATTAGGTCACTTTGAGATTGTATCTAGCCTAAAGCTTTACCATGTACACTTTTTTTGTTTAGTATTTGTAATTGCTTGTCTAATTAATGTAGATGCACCAATCATGTTTTTTCCTGCCTGGTTTACTTTGGGGTCTGCTAGTTCAGATTTGGACAGATTTAATTTCTGTATAATGTTTGTAGCACAAATAATTAATGGAAGTTGTAGTTTTTAATAAAAATGAAGAAATTACAGGATTATCCACATTAATGCACATCGCCAACCCTTATCGTGTTTTTATGTTATTAGAGAAAGTACATCAAAGTGCATGTTATTGGTTGTTGCATTTATAGACTGAAAATGAAGTGCATCAGCTTTTCTAGTACTCAAATAGTTTCCCATCTCTGGCCAGTTTAGATATAAACTTAATTCACAGCTGTATAAACTAAGACTTTTTTTCTTTCCTGCGTCTTCTGTTTAGGAGTTTCCTGCATCTCGGCGCCGGACTGAGCGTGGGCCTGAGCGGCCTGGCAGCCGGCTTCGCCATCGGCATCGTGGGCGACGCCGGCGTGAGGGGCACCGCTCAGCAGCCCCGGCTTTTCGTGGGGATGATCCTGATCCTGATTTTCGCCGAGGTGCTGGGGCTCTACGGCCTGATCGTGGCCCTCATCCTATCCACAAAATAAGTGTCTCTCTCCATCAAAACCACCATCTCATTCATTCCACATCAAAGCAGCGCGAACAAATAGGAGAGTTTCACCTTCTTCCATGACACCCCGCGGATCTGACAGGATGGGATGGCGGCAGAAACATGCTGGCTGTCGGTCTCGACAGCCTCGTCCTCTTTAGGTGTGATCTACTCCATTTTGTTTTAAGCCATCCGGTTGTGTCAGGTCTTGTGCGTACAGAACGGGCATGAACATGTACTGTTTGTTGTGAGATGATGTGTGGACAGTCTGCCTGATTATATCGTCTAATCTTAAACTGTACAGTGATCCAGAGTCGTCCCATCCTCAGTAAATGTAGTAACCAGTCTGTGCTGTGAGTGTGAGTATCAACGTTTACCCCTCCCTCCACCCATTCCTCTTTTAATTTTTGACTTTTGTTGGTGGGTTTTAATCATTATCTGTTTTTTTTTTTTTGTTTTTTTTGAGACTGCTGAAAAGTTGTGCACACTAGTATTTTATTTTTTCATGTTCTTTTTCGGGGACCATCTTTGAATCTCAGATGATTTTTTTGTCACTATTTATGGAAAGCTATGAGGATTTTGAAGCCGTCTAAATGGAATACTGTTTATTGAAATACCCTATATACATAAAATATATAAATTATCTGTGTATAGTTAGATTTATTGCACTGTGGGTAATTGTTCTAAGTGCTTGGAATTCCTCTGGATATAGTGTGATTATTATTGGAGGACGTCCACATGTTCACATGAAGATGACTGTGTGTGTGTGTCTGTGTGAGAGATCTGAGTGCATAATGTGTGGTTTTATGTTTGATATGACATTCTCAGACACTAGTATTGTTTACCTGTAGTGCTGCTGTCTTGATTTTGTTTTGTTTTTTTGTTCAAAGTGAGAACTCACTGTTCAGCCATACCTGTCAGATTTCCAAATAAAACTCAACCTCCTCCATTCATTGTCAAAACGGCTTTTGTTGTGTTCATGAAAACTTTAGTATGAACCTTGTCAATATTTGGAACAATACCTTTGAAATCTGAACAAAAAAAAGTATATTTACTCTTTACCCATGGCTGTAGCTGAATAACTAATATTGATCAATCTCTAATTTACATCCCTTGTTTTACAGCTGTGCAGTGTAAAAATATCGTAGTGTTTGATTAAAATGCAAAAATTGGTACAAAATCATAGCTGTTGAGGATTTTGACCTCTGTTGCAGGATTTGCTTAATTGACCACAGGGCTTTGGTCAGAAAGCGCGCTGGCCATCAGATGTTTTAAAGGGCTTTGCTGAAGAACTGTACAACTATGCATATATAGTGAAGCAGTTCCTGAAAATGCAGAAATTAAACTTCCAAATTACTTTTGTAAATATAACAATTAACACAAGTGAGTAAAAAGACCTAAATATCGGCATTTATCCCCTCTGTCATAAGTGCTGTTTAAACAATGTAGACTCTAACTGCTCAAAGCTCTAAGCTCAAGGTTAAATGCTAGTTTTAATACAAAATCAACCACATTAAGAGTAAAACAGACATTAATAAAACTATAGAAATATACTAGCAGCTAAACAACGCTGTCAGTAGTGATAATTAACATTCACTTAAGTCACTACTCACATCATCAATGATCGCTCTCAACAGTAAACGGAAATGGATCAGCTGACGAATGTCAAGAAGAAGAAAAGAAACGGCACAAACCTCCTTCAAAATAAAAGCATAGACATGAGACATTGAACAATCACTGCTGAAATGTTATTTTGGAGGAGCTGCAGTCACCCCCAGGATTGTCAAAAAATAAATGAATTTGAAAGACATGGAAAAAGTTAGCTCCAGTTCACCTACTTATGATTTAAAAAGCTAAAAACATCTGGAACTATGACAAATGAGGCAGGAGGATAATTCAAAGTTATCTTGAATTATCGGCCAGGGGGATGGTGAGAGGAGAAGACAAGTCGCTATTAATAATAATGAAATAAAAAATAAACCGTGGCAATATAACATGGGTGAAGGATGGTTGTTGTTTACAGTGAAGGCAATTTCCGGTGTTACGTCAATCTATCTATCTATCTATCTATCTATCTATCTATCTATCTATCTATCTATCTATCTATCTATCTATCTATCTATCTAT